ACAGCTACACACACACACACACACATGCAACGGTGGAGAAGGCCGCGTGCATGCGTGTGCGTTGTTTTTTCTTTCTTTTTTTTTTCTGTCCCGTCTTTCTCCCTCGACGGGAGCCGCGCAATCGTCGTCCAACGTGTCTGAGGAGGTCGTGCCTTTATGACGCCCTCCCTCCCCGGCCGCCTCGAGCGCTGATGGTCTAGGTGGTTATGACGTCGCTTTAACACGGCGAAGGTCTCGGGTTCGAGTCCCGATCGGCGTACTTTTCTCTCCCTTTTCCTCTCCAGGATGGGGAAAAAAAACATCCGCCGCCGCCTTCTTTTCCCCCTTCCGCCGGAGGCGAAGCAACACCCGGCCAAAGCCGCGCCGCGCGGCCGCCGGGTTCATGCGCACCGAGGACTGTCGTCGCCGCAAGGCAGAGACAGACGCGGGGGGACGCACGGCCGCGTCCCGGCAGCTACGCACCAAACGGCCGAAGGAAGACGGCGCACAAGCGGGGAGCCACGCAAACAGGCCGCCGCACACGAACTCGCGGCGCGAATGGTGCCGCAAACCGGCGCCAGGAATCAGTGACGCACGCCACCTCCGCTTTGCCCGAATTTAACGAAGCCGGCGGCGGTCACGGCTGCAAGAAACCGCGCACGTGCATGCGCGTCGCTGGGGCGATGCCTTCCCCGCTACACCGCCGACTGGCAGAGGGCCGGCGCGTCACGGAGGCCCGCCTCAGACTGCGACGCGGGCGTGGAAACTGTCCAGCGTCGGGGCGACCCCTCTCCGGCGGGGCCGCGGGGCTCGTCGTCGTCGTCGTCGTCCTTTGCATGCGGCGCCGCTCAACAGCCATCGCGCAAAGGCGCCCTGGCGATGCACCTCATTTCCCTCCTTCTTCTTCGCCGTCACCGCCACTGTTTAAGGGTCACAGACGACAACAAGAGCACAAAAAAAAAAAAAGAGGCAGTGTCGCAGACAGAACGACGCCGTCAAAAAAGTAAACACATAAACATTCATGACTCAGCGTTTCCCGCGCCATTCTGCTTTCCCCCCTCCCGCGCAAGACGCCTTGCACGGGGCTGCGACCGTGTGTGTGTGTGTTTCGGTGTGTGGGCGATACCGCCGTGAAAAACAAGGAAAAATCACAACAAAAAAGTTACCCCCTAGAAGCGTTTTTTTTCCCGCCGCTTCCTTTTTAAAATTTGCTTTTCTGTTTTCTTTTTCTTTTTCTCTTTTTCCCCCTCTTTTGCAGTGTGGCCGCTCGGCTTCCACTGCCGTATGTATTAGCGCCCCCCTCCCTCCAAGGGGCCGCGCGACGGCGAGGCTCCCGCGCGTGGGCCCCCCTCCGCGCACTCCCCTCGGGCGCTATTTTTATCTGCCCCCTTTTTTTTTTACTTTTCACAGTGACGAGAGGAGCCGCATAAAAGTAAGTTAAACACCCGCAGCGCGCCTTACAGCGCCTCTCCGGATGTGTGCGTGGGTGGGTGAGGAAATTGGGTGAATTTATCCGGGGGGAAGGGCAGGGCAGGGCAGGAGCGAATAGAAAAAACCAGGGAAAAACAAAAAAACAAAAAACAACTCCCCACCCCCCCACCCCACGCACAGTTGCTGCAGACCTAAATAAATACATAAGTAAATAAATATAGATATATATATATATACGCGGGGCGGAGGGGAGACGGAGGGAGAGCGCGAAAGATAACTCATTTAAGAAAAGGGAAGAGGAGGCGTGGACGTGTTACCACGTGCGCCTCGCCTGCTGGCGCGCGCAGCCGACAGCAGAGCCACCCCCACACCGTGGCGCCGCCGCCTCACGCGAACCGCTGAATGGTGCTGAAAATGGTGCTGCCGGTGCCGAACGTAATCGCCACTACGCCCGATAGAAGCAGGAAGTACGTCGAGAAGTACTGCACCGCCCCAACGCTGCTGTAGGACCAGTTCCCCGAGTACATGATAAAGAGCGCTGGGAAGACGAAGCCGATGAAGCCGCCACAAAACGCCCCCACAAGGCCAAAAACGATGTTAATGTCTGGCAGGAAGAGGCCAAAGAGGAGTGCCCCGACGGCAAATGTGACGCTGAAGATGGTGTGTTTCCAGTACGGCATCGTGTCCAAATCCCAACGCATGACCTGGAAGAGGGCGGTGCGGCATGCCAGCATGTTAAGGGAAAAGGCAGCACACAGCTTCGCAATGATGCCAATGAAGCAGACGAAAAAGACAGGGGCCTTGTAGGGGTTGAAGTACTTCAGAATAGACCCAGACACCTCCGGCCCAAACTCCGCGTAGCCAAAGAACCCGATCAGAAAGTAAAGCACGCAGCAGATGCCGCAGCTTGCCGTCGCATCACGGGTCATACGTGCGACGGAGCGTCGTCTCATTTCGTAAAAAATTTTGAAGCAATTTACCTGGCAGAGGTACGCAAACATGAAGAGCGCGAGCCCGGAGACGGCGCTGTTGCCTGGGCGGAACATCACGAGATCCGAGCGAACGTGGCCGTCCGCGGCAATTTTCTGCGCCGAGTGCACCACAACGCAGCCGACAAAAAAAACAATAAACAGCACCCCGATAGCCGAGGCATATCGCAGCGAGTTCACATGCTTTGGAAGCACAAGGGGAAACATGAAGAGCATCCAGATGCCGCTCATGATCACGCGCCGCCCGCTGTCTGTCTGCAGGTACGCAGGCACACCCTTGTGTGCCAGGATGGGCCGAAGGACGTCGCCCACGGCCACCACGTACCCAATGGCGCCACCAAAGCAGAGAATCCAGAGCAGAAGTGCCACCGCGATGTCCGCGCCGCGCCCGAGGAGGCCGCGCGCCAAACTTTCAAAGCTGCGGTACCCCGTACGCTCTGATGCCCGCACGAGCAAGTTGATGGAAAACACCGTCAACACTGTCACCGCCACCAGATACACCATCGCCATGACCATTCCGGAGGTGTTGAAGGCGGACGGAAGCGAGATAATGCCGGCCCCAAGCGTGACGCTTGCGAGATTCAACATGCCAGAGAGAGCACCGCCGTGGGGCACAATGTAGCCGAAGAGGCGCAAAAACCAATTTTTTGGTGCTGGCTGCAGGCCCTCCTTTGAGCCCACTTCCATCTCCGCGGGGCACACTTCCGGCGAGAGCGGCAGCTCCACACGCAATTCAGAACTCATTCCCAATGCGGTTCCCGCTGCTGACGGGATGAGGGCCTCATTTGGCTCGGCCGCGGCTGGTTCACGGGACATAGCGGCTAAGCAATTTCCAAAACCAACTTTCTTTCCTTTCTTTTTGCGGGTGCACGAGGAACGAATTCCTTCAGCCGTCAGTCCACCAAAGAAGAAGACAGAGGCAGAGTGGGAGAAATGCACGCACACGGACTTCGAAGAAAACGCAAAAGCGAGGTGCCAAGCACCCAACAAGGTTGGAGTAAGACGCCGCGTTGGTAGTGCATGTGCATTGTGCTCTCCCGTCTGCAGAGGCATATTCCCCCGTCCCAACTCCTCAGCACTGCCAGCGGCAGTTGCACCGCCATTAGCCTCACAATACCAAAAAATAAACAAAGTTTCCCACACCCAATCCAAATGTATCTACAGGTATACAAAAATAGGCACGGCGTCATCGCCTCAGGGACGCACAACGCTTGCCTGCCTCTTTTTTTTTTTCTCCTCTTGCTCTTTCCCTCCCCGTTGTATTCGCTCCTCCTCCTCCTCCACCTCTTCGTTGCCCTTGCCCCCGTGCTCCCCCCCATGCAGTGTGTTTGCAGCGGAACGCGTTGCTCTTGCAGCTTTCCAGCCGTCCCTCACGCACGGGGGCAGGCAGGCCCCACATGGCTCCCTCCTCGACCCTCGCCCGCCGTGGGGATGTAGCTCAGATGGTAGAGCGCCCGCTTAGCATGCGGGAGGTATTGGGATCGATACCCAACTTCTCCAAAGTTTTTTCCTTCTCTCTCTTTTTTCGTTTCATTCTTCAACCACCGCCGCTGGTTTTTTTTCTTTTTCCTGCGGCGTGGCAGAAGAAGAGAGAAAGTTGTGCGCCGTGTGTGTTGTGTTGTGTGTGTGTGTGGCGCCTATGAAAAAAAAGGAAAAAGAAAATAAAAATAATGACAATAATAATAGTAATACGGCACCGGCGTTACACCGGTGAGGTTGCTTCCCCGCGCCTTCCTCCGCGGCGGCGGCGCACGCCACGAGGCGCCTGCGGCTCATGCGTCCTCACAATCTACATGGCGCCAACGCCAGCGAAGAAGAAACAAAAAAGATAAGAGAAGAGTAGGAGGAAAACAAGAAGGTGCATAAACCGTCCACGTCAAAGGGCAAAGGGTGACAGCCGCAGGCGGAAGTGGGGAGCGGCGGGGCACGGGGAAACGTCGCGGAGGCGGCCAAAGCAGAGAGAGGTGAAGTAGTTAAAAGCGCCTTTGGGGGGAAAAGCGGGGACGAGAGAAACAAATGTACGGAAATAAGTAACCACAGCCTTGCCGTTCCACGGCAATCATGCACAGCTCAATGGACAACCCGCATTTGACGCACACAACCTTCACCGCAAAGGGGGACCCTCAACAGCGTCGATGCGGAGGAATAAAAGGCTGGGGAGAGAGAAAGATATCTAACAACCAAAAGAAAAAGAAACAAATAGAGGAATAACTTTACCGTGAAGCCCGCAGAAGCAGGCAGATGGCTGTTAATGGACGCCCCTACAACACTTTCTCATCAATTGTTTTCCCAGACGGCGCCATCCTTTTTTCCTCGTCGTCTTCGTCGTCGTCGGAGCGGATGTCCGCAAGCGGGCCACCAAAAATCGTCCGAGCCGCCACCCTCACAATCAGCGCAAACCAGTACACGTGCAGCCCCTGCAGCACCACCTGCAGGAGAAACACCAACACCCAGTAGCACAATGTGCACTTGCGCAGATTCACCGCAAGCCCCACCGTTGCCAACGCGAGGGACGGCAGGCAAACGAGGCGGAAGAAGAAAAACGTCGCAATGAAGGCGGCAAAGCAGACGAGCACCGTCGTGCCGCTGAAGACGAGTTTGTAGAGGAGGGACGCCGGGGCCTCCGCAGACTCGGCGCGCTTTCCTCCGTCCCTCGCCGCCCGCTGCTCCCTCTCCTCCGCGGCCTTCACGACGTAGTTCAGGGCCTTGCTCACCGCAAGCGTGATGTCGCTGACGTCATGGATGAACAGGACGTAGGCGCCAAAGCGGTGCTCGTAGGCGCAGTGCGAGAGCACGATCAGGGCGATGGTCGCGAAGTGGTGGATGACGTACTCCAAAAAGTCCGAGCGCTTGATGTCGCGATCGGCGAAGTGGGAGAAGCACTCCGAGAGGTAGAAGCCGAGGCCGTACTGGTAGTAGAGCAGCAGCCCGCGCCCCGGGCGGTACGGGTGCGGGGAGAGGATGGCGACGCGGTTGGCCGCGCCGAGCAGGAGCCCAAACCACGGCTCGCCGCGCTGCACCATGTAGCCGAACACAGTGGACGCCGTGTAGGTGACGGCAAGCCACACCTGCGTCTGGAACTTCCTCAGCTTGTTGCGCTGCGCCTTGCTCAGGCAGGCCGCCTTGGCGCCGCCGCCCGGCACCACCACCCGCAGGCGCAGGCCGAGCCGCGCGAGCCTCCGCTGGCTGGCGAAGCGGACCGCGAT